TTGATATAATACAAAATATCTTTCACACTGTTCGTATATATCTTGTAAAGAATTTATTGGGCAAACGTAATATATATATATATATATATATGTATATATATATATATGTATATATATATATATGTATATATATATATATGTATATATTCAAACACACACACACGAATGATTAATGTTAAAAAATCAGTCACCCTACAATAAAATAAATAATAAGTGTTTTGGAAAAAGGATCAATAGTTATTTGTAAACTCGCATCATGAATTAATAAAATAATATTGAGTTGAATATATATTGTAGTTAGAAGGATTCATATACATGTTTCATTGGATTTATGACAGTCTGTCTATGGTAACTATCTTCCTCTTTCAGAATTTAGGACTAAAACCTTAAGCATGTAAATTTTTATTAATATCAATGTGTACATAATAATCAAATATGAACCTTACACCATGTCATATTTTGTTTTGCTATCTCTTTCACCGATTGAACATTGTCAATTAACCACTCTATCAAACATTACAACTGAATGCTCATGCACGTAAAGTTCATGTAATACCAAGATTCATGTTATGATACAGTATGAACCATAAATAAAACGTCATATTTTGTTTTGTTATTCCCTTCCTGAATTCACCAGTTTTACGTTGATAGACAACTTAATTGTTTTCCTCTATAGGGTTAAGACTAAAAGTTCATGCACGTGATGTTTAAGTAATACAAGTCTTTATTATTGGCTAAAAGAGTCAACTGAACCAATTAATTGAACTGTATTGATACAACATGTCAAAGGACTTCTATCAAACGAATAATGACAAACCAATTCATATTTTCTTTATAAAAATACCCATCACAATAAAGGAATTTTTAACAATATTTTCAAATAAGTTCTAAAATAAAATTATGAATTAATGAAATACTATAGAAAGAATATATGTCGTAATTACGCGAATTTTAATATTTTATGTTCTTATTTTCATCGTCAAATCCATCAGTTTTATGTTAATAATCAGCCTATTACAACCGTTTTCCTCTATCAGGGATTCGTAGTGAAAGATCATGTACTGAAAAATTAAATAGTATTATCATCATCACTGGCACAATCACATGTATTCAAAAGTTGTCAACTCACACCACTTCATTGAAAAAGTATACCATGTTGATAGTTGAAAAGTTTTTTTTTATATGCATACAATGTATTTGATCCCTTTATATGTTTACATATATAATTTGTCATGTTTTTGTTTTGTAGTCTTCATCACAAAATTCACTAATATTATGTTGGCAATTAGCCTACTACAATTATATTCCTCTACATGGAATTAGAATTGAAAGCTCACTCAGGTGAAGTTTAGGTAACATAAGTATTTATTTACCTTATGATATACTATAAAACTTACAACATGTAATGTTTCATTTTGTTATGCTTAACACAAAAGTCATGAGTTTTTTTAATTGATTGTCAGTCTACTGCAATTGTTTTGCTCTATCACGACCCAGAACTGAAGGTCATGCACATACAACTTCTGTAATAAACATTGCCATCAGTGGTAGAGCCATACTTATTCAAAGAGAGTAAGCTTACACCGCTCCACTAAAAAGAGTAAGCCATACTTAGTATAAACCATTTGTAGCAATCATTCTCATATTAAACTTGTAAAGAGAAACACACAAGAAGTACTTTATCTTGTCCTAAAAGAATAAAATTCAGTCTTTGTTTGTCATAAGATAAGGTCAACTATGCATTTTAAAGAATCGATGGAAGATCCAATGATGGATAAAATAGACGAGATATTGGTTGCAAAAGTTGGTGAATCCCACAAATCAGAAATGCCCATTTCTTAAATCAATTTTTTTCTTTGAATGAAGGACCAAATTTGAAGCCTCCTTTTATTGCTTTTCAATCCGAATATATTTGGCCGTTGAAAGTTTCCTTTCATAGTTGGGATGGATAGAGGAATCCACAAATAAATGGAAAGAATATAATGGGTTCAAATGATGGAGGTTACCCATCACCTTGTATCGAAAGTTGCGAGAATTTACGAAGCTATGAACAGTTTAGTTTATAGAGTAAGGATAAATAAAAAATTTATTTTAGGGTTGGCAGAAAGGTGGTTCTTTGGGACTATAAGTTTTGTGTTTCTGTGGGATGACTCTATTGTTACTCTTGAAGACAAGATAATTTTGGGAAGGTCTTCTGTTTTGGGTGACTCCATTTTGTCCATCCTTCAATCTGTTGAGTTGGTAGAGATTAAAGAAAATCGTTAAAATGTGTGAAGGATCTTAGAGTAGTGGTTGATTATTTTCATAAATAGTGGTATGGAATATAAAGATAAAGTTTTTTTTTTCTTTGGTTGTCAAGATTTGTTCCATGTAAAATAGAGGCTCTTGTTTTCTCATTAGTTGTTAACCTAGCTAGAGGTATGCGGTTATAACTTGCTCTTGTTTGGTTTGAGACTTTTTTCCTTCCTATGTGGACAAATAAAAGTTGAAGGTTTTGCGCCTTCTTTCCTTTTCTTTATGGATTAATTTAGCCCAATTTGACTACCTGACTTTGCTTATAAGCTCAATATTATGTTACATATGTAATACTTTCTTTTAGGTTTTATTTTAGAAGGAGCATAATAGATTGAAATAACTCAGATAGAGAGAGTAGTGATTGAGTGAAGATTTTCGCACAAGCCCTAGCAGTCAATTTCAAATTGAGATTTCAACTTCGTTGATTATCCGATTTAGCTTATTTTTTCATAGCTTGTTCATTCATTTCAATCTTTGATTGGGAACTGAAAAATGGTGAGTATGAGTCGTGTAGCTAAAGATTTCTCTTGTTTTTGGTGCTATCTTGTAATTTAGTTTCGCATTGTTTGGCACTTTGTTGTTGTCCATTTTTCGAGAACACTTTTGCAACTCTTGTTTACTTTACTGTATCTTTGCATTGTCTTTTTTACTCTTCACACCGAAGAGGTTTTCCACATTAAAATTTGGTATCTTGTGTGTTGATTTATTTTTCTTACTTGGTTGATTTGTTTGTTGCCCAAGCTGTTTGTTCTTGCATAAATTTGTCTTCTCTTGGTTCTAATAAAAATGAAAGTTCTCACTTACGTTTTCTTTGGCTATTGCCCTATTAAGCACATTTATTTTGTGTTTGTCTTTCCGAGTCAGTTTCCTAAATGGTCACCAAAATTGAGGTAATTGTCTTGAAATATCATTTATGTTTCATTTAGGACCAAAATATCTACCACTATTTTCCTTCAAATATACTTGACACTTCAAAATATCACTCTTACCTTGTGGCATGACATGTTATTAAAATCTTTTTTTAATGATAGACAAATTTAATTAACTAAAATCATATAAATAAAATAGTGAACATATTATTTTTAATTTTGTTAATTAATTTATTAAGAATAAATTTTCATACTTAAAATCTTTTATCATAATTAACTTTTTTTATATTATGCAGAAAAATAAAATGTGTCTCTGAGAAATCAGACATAGGTTGAGGGGGTACTTGTGCATTATCCCTATAATATAATATAAAATAAAAAATTAAAATAAAAATAAAAATAAATTTATAAAAAGATATGTAAAAATTTTCTCTTTCTTACCATTTTTTTTGCCAATCATACAAATTTTTCTAAATACTTTTATAAAACGAATTACTTAAAATTTTTAAATAATTTACTTAGGATTTTAAAAATTATCAGTTAATAAGGGCACACAGAGATTTTTTCATTAAATTTTTTTGGTGACAATATATAAAGTTACTAGACTCTTTAAAAAATTTTCTTATAATCTTTATAAATTTTCATATAATTTATACATTTATTTTGTAGAGACATAAATTTAACGAATGGAATAGGTCTATTATTTTTCAGAATGATGATTTAATGACTGGGCATATCAACTAAAATTTAAGGAGACTTCTGAAGTATTTAGTATTTCTAATAGATAAAAAAATATAATATTATTCAATTACTGTTTTCTTTTTAAAAACGAAATTTTAAGTATATATGGATTTCAAAGCACCGAAATAATTATTTATTTAATAATTAATAGACCTTTAATATTATTGATTTATCATACAACTTATGATTAATTGATGTAAATTAATGTTCATGAGTGATTTGCACATAATTTTTTTTTGTAATATAACTATTTATAAGTATTCAAAATTAATGAAATTATAGTACATTTTTAAAATTGTATTCTTCATAATATAAAAATAAAATTTAATTATGATAACAGATTTTATGTATTAAAATTTATTCTTAATAAACTAATAAAAAATTAAGAAATAATTTGATCATTATTTTAGTTAAATGGGTTCAATGAATCAAATTAGTCTATTACTAAAAAAGAAATTTAATGACATATCATGCCAATTAGCAGAGAGTGATGATTTTCAAATGTCAAGTACATTTGGAGGAAAATAGTGATAGTTGAGTGGTATTTTGGTATTAAATGAAACATAAATGATATTTTAAGATAATTCTCTTAACTTGGGTAACCATTTAGGGAATTGACTCTGTCTTTCCCAATAGCTCTTGCTATTCTTGCTAGTACATATAGGGATTTGGTCTTATTGGAACAGATTGTAATAATGGTTTCATTAAATATAACATGTAGAAATAGACCTTTTATAATAAGTTTAACTATAATTATCTTTATTTATCAACACTCAAAATTTTTAATGAGATAATAGTAATTACATTATTTTATTGTCACCGACTATTAAATACATTTAGATATTTCTTCATTGATATTAAATTATTATTTTTGTTTATTTGCACTTTTTACATGTCATTGGTTATCTTCATTATATTGTTTTTAATATTCATTTAATTCCTTAACATTTGTTAATATTCATTTTAATATTTTGCAGAGTCTAAGAATTCATTCAAATATGGATAAAATTTCATACATAGATATGGTATTAACCGGTGGTTTTGGCTACAGTTTTAAAACAAAGGTATTGTAGTTTGAGTGGTTTCAATACTCTATTTGAACAAGAATTTAGTAATTAATTCAAGGGTGGTAGATAGTATTTTTAGATTAGAGGAATAAAAGCATTCCAAAATAGAAAAAACCCTATAAGTTTCTCCCCCTATATTTTAGCACTAAAGCAGCCGCCACCCAACCCTCAAATCCTATCTTCTCCAATCAATCACTGCCTAAACTGAAAGCCACCAAATGCCACCACTATCAGCCAGCTTCAACCAGAACTCTAGAGAACCACCTTGACAGACGTTCAAACGAACATCCATTTTTCATATCCAAACGCACACCACAAAACTCCGAAGACCCCAGATCCCTTCACCTTTTTTTCCGACATCATATGAAACCCCCCAAACCCCAATTGTTCGCCTCCTTTTTACATATTCCAATCCTAACACCAATAGAACAAAATCTAGCACACTAGACCAAAATCCAAGCTCCACCTGAGACCACCATAGAACAACAAACTACCGCCCCCCTTTTTCCCTTCAAGCTCCATCACTAGCTCATGATTCATGGAGCAGCCAACTTCATGGAAAGCTCAACCAGCATTCGAACCTCCGCGGACAACCTCACTAAACCAGATCTCACCATAAATCTGAGCACCCATGAAGACAACATTGAGTTCCGTCAATCAGGTTCCGGTTAGTCTAAATTTTTGTATTATCATATATTGATACTTGGGTCAGTTTTATTATTTACTATTAGTCACTTTTGTCTCTCTTTATTATTTATTACTATAAAATTGTTTATTGTTTATGTTTTTGCTAAGTTGGTTTAGTTTTTTAATATATTGTGTTAAATAGTGTTTTTATGTTGATCATATTCTCCCTTGTGTATTTGATTTATTTAGCTATTTCTGTTGTTTTATTTCTTTCAGTTCATATATGGCCTTGGTGAATAGAAAATTTGTTAGCTTAGATATTTTATGGTTGCCACATTGATTTTGGTATTGTTACTTTATTTAGTTTTATAATTTTATTATAGTTTTTGCTTGGTTTCTGTCCATTTGTTAATTTGGTTATTGGTATTATGTTAAAACCAACCACTTGTTTATCATATTTAGTTATTAATTTCACGTTGTTTTGTCTCTTTTCATTAATTTTCTTAATGAGTTTTCTTAATGTGTATTTCTCATATAGGTTGTCTTTTGATTGTTTGTGTGGTTCACATAATCTTTGGAATATAAATTTAATACCCTCGTTTATTATTATTAGTCCTGTTATTATTTTAACGGTTGGTGTTGTTAGACTTTTTGTGTTTTAGAAAATTCCTTTGATAGTCAAAATTAGCCAATAAAAAAATATTTCAATTGGCTTTCAAGACCTCCATATTATAAAGATGAAAATTTTGTTTAGATTTTTATATTTTGTATGTTAAAATTGGATCAATGGAGAAATTATAATCGATTTTCAAGGTCTTCCAAGTTAATAAGACGGGTTTTTATTTTGAAAATTATTTTTTAATTTCATTTATTATTATTCATATTCATTTAGTATTAACACTTTTACTCAGTGTCTTTACAGGTACCCGAGGTTGCTTCTTTTTGAATCAATTTGAATGGAGATCAAGTAACATTTTTTATTTGTTATTATATATTATTGACGAAATGCAAGTTTATGCCAAATATTATATTTTGTTTTATAAAATTACTTGTGAATATTGCATATTTATTGCACTTGTATATTTGTTTTTATAACCTCATCAATTTCAAAAAATGAATTATGGGACACCAATAATTGTGGATTTCGAAGGATTTTTAATACCTTTCCTTTGAAAATAACTTGAACTCCTTACCTAGAATTTCTTGGTTTCGTATATCACTTTAATTGGTTTCTTAGTTTTCCTAAAATTTTGCAGAGATTCCTTTTTAAAATCCATTTATTCTTAAAAAAATTTAAAAATTTAGTTAATCTCTTATTATTTTGAGTCACCACGATGTTTCGCCATATTTGGATAAATTAGAGATCTAAACGAGTATAGATTTGACATTCATAAAATAGTCTTTGGTCGCCATTTTTAATTTTTTCATGTTTGTTCTTTTTAGAGGGGTGAGAAAATACCGATGGTACAATATGGAGGAATCGGGTGTTATTAATGTCAGGGCTATTATTGACTCATCCGGAGAGTGTGTCGATGGAGGCCATACACCTTGGCTGTGGAAGGTTAGTAGATTGTCATGTTTTATAAGGATAAAGAAGACTGGACAATGGCCGGAGGGAAACATTTAGATATAAAATGGGGTCTCTAGTTCCATGCTTAAGGGCATATGTGCTTGTTGGTTTTGATTGTCAAGAGTGATAACGACCAAATCGGTAGCAATGCATTTTGGATATGATCAAGACTTCGCTCAATAAATTTCTAAGTTGCCTTCAAATCCAAATCATGCCTCGTACAACCAAAGATGCTCTATCAATTCTAATTTGAGGTTATACTATTCATCTAGGCTGTATGAACCGGATGTAACTACACAGTATTTGAAATGATGGAGAAACAAAACTAATCGGGATGTTTGTAATAGTCTTCCTAATCTATATAGAGATTTTCAAGTAGAGAATTACCCTGAAGTTCATCCAAGTTTTTCTCCTCATTCAATGAAGAAGTATATTGTACAATAGAAAATGACAACGAGAATTCATCTATGATGGTTTTTCAAATAGTGGTTGTCAAATCTAAAGAAAAATTAAGAGGAATTTCAACGTAATTCTCCACTTGACATTCTTTCGTTAGTTCAGGAGACGCATCACATACATCCGAATTAGTTTCATTTATCCATCATTTCAAAATATATTGTAGTTACATCAGGCCCAAAAATCCTATACAGATAGTATAACCTCAAATCATAATTGGTAGGTCTTCTGTAGTTGTACCAAACAAGCTCTAGACATGAAGGCGAGTGAGGAATCCCTTTAGGAAAGTCTTGATCATATCAAAACTCCATTGCTACCTGATTTGGTCGATAGGGCTCATGACAATCAAAACCAACAAGTTCAGATGCCCTCAAGAATCGAACGAAAGACTCAATTTTTGTATCTAAATGTTTCCCTACATCTATTATCCACTCTTCTTTATCCTTGTAAAACGTGGGAATTGACCTACCTTCCACAACAAAGGTGTATGGACTCCTTCAAATAAAATCTTTGGAATAGTCAATAGTAGGCCTCAAATTAATTACACTTGAATCATATTGACATCGGCGTATTCTCACCCCACTAAATATTTTTGTAATTTTGAGCCTGTACTAGTTGCAAAGATACCATCCTCTCCAAAGCTCAAACATGAACAAAGAACACTAGCAACAAAAGACTAAGTTTATAAATGTCAAATTTGTCTCCCTTTCTACCTGTCATTTATGATGAAGACCTTATCATAACTAATTTCAATGAGCTTCAATCCCTATATATACTAGCAAGATAACATGATTTATTGGGAACGACCAAAACAAAATAAATGTGCATGATAGGGCAATAGCCAAAGAAAATAAAAGTCAAAACTTTCATATCTATTTCAACTAAGAGAAAACAAAATAATGCAAGAAAAAAATGTTTGGTCGACAAAAAAATCAACCAAGCAAGAAAAATTAATCAACACACAAGACATCTAATTTTAACGTGGAAAACCTCTTCAGTGTGAAGAGTAATAAACAAAAGGACAAAGCTCCATAAAATAAACAAGAGTTATAATAGTTTTTACAAAAATGGATAGAAATAAAGTTCTAAACAATGCGCAACACAACTACAAGACAACATAAAAAGACTAGAAAAATAAAAGGAGTAACAATACCAAATCCCAACTACTATTATCGAGCAAAAATTTTGAGCTACATGACTCTAAATAACCCTTTCTTATTTTCCAATAAAAAATTAAGTTTAAAGGAACAAATTGTCCAGAAATAACCACAATTAGAAAAGAATTGAAGCGGGAATCACAAATTGAAATTGGCTTCTACACTAATTAAAATATTGCAAATTGCCAACAAATTTTACTAACAACTTATGTTTGTTAGTATTCTACTAACAAATTAACAACATATTTCTAATTGAATTATATGTTAAAACTTGACAATGAAATTTTAAAAGTTTACACAAAAATCTTATTAACTAAGTAGTTTAGTTGGCAAATACACCGTTAAAAGATGGCGCCAAATTTAGCAACATTCGATTGATGGATTAACAATTGAATTAGTACGAACACACACCTTTTGTTTGTAATATTACAACTGAAGTATATATCAATTGGTAATTTGATGCCCTGATCCTACACCCTAGGTTGGACTAAAACGCGAAAAACATTCTTTTCCTCGAGCATACCCTGTGTCTGACTTACCTACTTAACGGAATACATAAATCAATAAACATATCTTTCGAAAATAAATTGGAATGTTAGAAATGAACATTAAACTTGTCAATTAAAGCAAACCCAAGTCTTAAAATAATATAATGACAATAAAAAGACTAAAGGACATCTAACTGATTATGAGGCCTTTGAACAATCAAGATTGATGTTGAGACAAACCCCAAAACATCCTAATTAATTAGACTACAAACAAATAAATGATCCCTCTAGACTGCAAGAAGGCTTACCGACATACTCTGAATGTTCATGTTGGATCAACATGGCCCTCAATGCATATCATTGTTACTTGCGTCTACATCATAATATGATGCAGGGCAACTGACATCAGTACATTGACTATACAAGTATGCGAGTTCGAAAATAAAAAATATAGGTCTTGAAAGAGATAACGAAAGTAACACTTCCCGTTGTTATTCTCAACTTATGAATAACTTAACTTAATATAAAGAAATTGAAACAGATGTGATACATATAAAGCTTTATAAAAAAGCTTAAAATAATCTTAGTTCTTTTATGATAAAACAATAACAAACTTAACTTTACTTATATAAAAAGTAATATAACTTCTGTGGGTGATTCTCTAACCATCAACCATCACTATGAGCCTATGTAATGATGGTACAACGTTTTATCTCATGTTTCCAACGACCTTCTTATACCTTGCCATTAGTATGAGACCTACACTACTAAGTTTATCCGCTAGTTTATGCTAAAAAGCGTTAAGGAATCATCTAAAAAGTATTTCCCTTTTTCAGCCCATCATGGTTACAAGGTTTAAGGGTGGTTGAGTTAATATGAACTTGCGTCCCTATAGCGGTTACTACACCCGAGATGCACTTAGCTCATTTGCTTTTAAAACAACTTCTTCTTCGTTTTAAGACAATTACTCAAAACTAGCTTAAAAGCTCTCTTGGAATCAATGTTTCCTTTATCGTTCAAAATTTATATGGAAATCTCAGTCATCTCATCTTAAATGTGAAAAACATTGACTCTTGGGAATACTTAGTTCTCATATATTATTTTAAATAAAATGACCTTTGTTCTTACTCGTTACTCATCTTAAAAAGTTCAAGTCATAAAACAAAGTTAAAACGTCTGTAACAGTCTTTTGAAAACTTTAAACAAACATCTCTTACTTGACTCATGACTTCTGTTTATTTTGATCTGAACTACTCTTCACTTGACTCTTAAGTTATCCTTGAATTTAATTATGAATTCAAAGATTACGGTTTGTGTTTGGAAAGAGCTCATGTTGTTTAGGAATGATTTTAGATAGCTAAACATTAGAAAAGTAACAAAATAACCATTTTGGAATATGTCTCTGACGCGGAGTTGTATTGAGTAAATACTCGCTAAATAAATTCTTGATACAGAGGAGTCTGAGTCCTTATCGCACTGCGGAGAAAGTTTCATTCATTAATGGAACAACGCGGACTTGCTGCTGTTTCTTTTCCCATTTTCTTCTATTTTTTTTCCAACCCCGATTCGCGTAAATTAGAATAGCTCTCTCAAATTCATTTTAGATTCCTATACCCAGAATATGTAATCAAGAACCTAACTCAATACAACTCTAAAATCAACGAAACATCTAAAAAACTCAACAACCTAACCTAATGCAACAAGAATACTCAATACAACTCTAAAATCAACGAAACATCTCAAAAACTCAACCTACTGCAAAAAGAATACATGTGCAGAACATCAACTTTCAAACTATTTTAGGACGAATTGCACTGAAATAAAACATGCTTGGCGCGTGTGTTAACAGACCCAACACTATGAAAGACAAACATACCTTGTAGGGTCATTTACTTGGCGAATCCACAACCAAAATCTATCGTTCCTTGTGACTCTTGCTTTTCCTCTTCTCCCTTCTTTTGCGTTCTATCTCCAAAAGTCCTTACTCTATTTTAAAAATTGTAAACTGAACTATGTTTTGACCCCAACAAATTTACTAAAAATGTATTTAATTTGTTGAGTAATTAAAATACCAAATTACCCATCCAAAATCTGGATTGGTCAACTCCACCAAACAGCCCAACTTCCAAAATGTATAACTTAATCATACGGCTTTTGAATTCTGCACACTGAGCTGCATTGGAAAGATCCTTTCAAGATCTATCCAAGCATATCTAGAAATAAATTGAAATCATCTTGAGCAAGAAGTTATGACCACTTGAAATTGACCAAGACTCATCTCTTGCTAATTAAGAAATTTCTGGATTTTTAATTGTTTCCAAACACGATTATTTTAAGTTCTAACATTCTTTCTAGCTATTTCAATTTGAGATATGTTACCATATCTCTCCCTGGGGAACATTCATCCTCGAATGATATTACTCATACCAGGCTAAGGGTAATAACATTTTGTTCAAAAACTTAACAAGCAAATGCAAACAAACAACATGCTCACCCATAATTTAGAGAGTATTAATAAGAAAATTAGTACCTTGCTCTGCATTTTTCTTCATCTTCTGATGTATCCTCTTCAATAACTTGGTTCCTCCAAAGGACTTTAATCTATGTAACCTCTTTTGACCTTAACTTGAAAACTTGAAGTTCTAGAAACTGAAGCGGAATCTCTTCATATGATAAGCTATCGTTGATGACAATATTTTCAGTTGGGATAAACAATGAAGAATCGCCATACACATCTTCAACATGGAGACATGAAATAAAGGATGAACTGTTTCAAACTTTTGAGGTAGCTCCAAATCATAAACTTATTTTTCAATCCTCATGAAAATTCTATAAGGACCAACATACCGAGAGATAAGCTTTTCTTTCTTACCAAAACTCATAGCACCCTCATGGATAAATTTATTTAATTATACTCAGCCATGTACTTTAAACTCTAACTCCCTTCTCCTTACATTAGTATAGGATTTATGACAACTTTATGTTGTTTTCAACATCTCATTAATTCATATCACCGTCTCTATAGCATGGTGAACTAAATCTGGTCCTATCAACCCTGCTTCACCAACATCCAACAATTCAATAAGTATCTGCATCTTCTCTCATAAAGAGCTTCATAAGGAGCCATTTGGATGCTGGAGTGCTAACTGTTGTTGTAAGCAATCTCAATTAGAGGCAGGTGATCATCCCAATTTCCTTTGAAATAAATCACACAGTCCCTCATCATATCATCTAAAATCTGCATAGTAGGATTTGCTTTCCATCACTCTGAGGATGAAATGTAGTACTTACGTCACTTTTTA